TAGGAATGTGGAGGGTAGACATCCTTGCCTTGATCTTATTCGGTCTTTCACTCTTAAGTATGATATTGGCCGTAGTTTTGTTTTTGTTTTTGTTTTTGTTTTTGTTTTTGTAGAAGCCTTTTCCAGGGTTAGGAAGTTCCCTTCTACACCCAGTTTGCTGTGAATTTTTTAAAAAATCATAAATGGGTATTGAATTTTGTCAAATGCTTTTTCTCTGTTGAAATCACCACAGGGTTTTTCTTTTTCAGTCTGGGAAAAGGCATTAGTTGATTTTAGAATGTTGGACCAACCTTGTATTCCTGGGATAAACTCCAGCTTAGTCATGATGTATATTCCAGCTGGGCCTGATTTTCTAATCTTTTTGTTGGGAATTTATAAAGTCTTATGTTCATGAAGGATTTTGATTGGTTTGTAGCTTTGTTTTCCTGATATGTTTTGTCTGGTTTTGGAATAAGGGTAATGCTCGTCTCTAAATGGTTCGAAAGCAGTCTCTCTTCTGTTTTATGGAAGTGTTTGGATAGAATTGGTATTATTTCTCCCCTAAGGCCTATGGTCTTATAGTTGAGATTGAAGATTGCTTAAGGATTTCTTTAGTAAAATAAAAAGTATCAGATGCTTCTAGTACATTTCCTCATTCTTCAGGCTAACAGTGGACACTTTCTAGACATTAAGACATTGGTTTGGTTTAAGGTCTAGGGTTAATGGACTGGGTGAGGGAAAATCATGGTGGATGCACTCACATGGGATGAACTCACAGTTCACTCCCAGCTGGCTGTTGGCTATTTATCAGGTCATTTCACTTTTCAGAGCTTTAGTTTTCTCATCGGTAAATAAGACCTCAAGATCCGCCCTTCTTCCACCATTCCCCTGGCTGTGTGTTTCTGAGCCCTTGACAAATGTTTTGGTGGGTTAGACCATTTGTATTTCTTACCCCTTCATTCATTGGTGGCAAGTCCAGTCAAGAACTCTCATTCTCAAAAGGGAAGAGTTTTCCCATATGTTGTAGTCATGGTTCCAGCGTGAAGCCTAGGTAAATATTGGCTTATCTTTAATCTTCATTGGCTTTTTAAAAATTGTAAAAGTAATATAAACCTTATTAAGTTCAAACAATACACAAGTGTATACAGTAAAATGCAGAAGACCCTGTTGGCCCCATTACTATTCCTAGAGTTGTGTGGGTCAAGCAACTATGACCAATCCTTCTAGACCTTTTTTCGCACAAATATTTATATATGTATACATATCCTAACTTAATTTTTTAAAGAGATTAAGAGTGTAATATCCAGAATATTTTTCACTTAACACTGTATCATGGCCCTTTTTATTTTCTTTTTTAAAAAAATGTTTATTTATTTATTTTGAGAGAGTGTGTGAGTGTGCATGGGGGAGGGGCAGAGACACAGAGAGAGAGAGAGAGAGAGAGAGAATCCCAAGCAGGTTCTGCACTGTCAGTGCAGAGCTCACGTGGAACTTGATTGCATAAGCTGTGAGATCCTGACCTGGACTGAAACTAGGAGTGAGATGCTCAACCACCTGAGCCACCCAGGCACCCGACATGGCCCTTTTTTCCATGCTAAGTAAATTGGTCACAAGAGAATTTGAACTTCTGCCTGAAACATAGAAAAGCCTTTACTATCAAAGAACACTTTAAAAACCGCAGATTGGATTCAAACCTGCAGAGTTAAACCCTCTCCTTATACCATGTCTCCTATTTTCTGTACTCATTGGCTTCCTTCCTTGGAAAAAAACTTCCCAGATGTTAAGGAAAATCACAAACCCTCTTTTTTTTTTTTTTTTTTTTAATTACAAACCATCGTAAGCATCAAATAGAATAGGGACAAACACTGTGTTTAAACCAACTAATGTAGGTGTAAGTAAGGCCAAGTAGCTGCCTTGAGTATTTAGCCCAAGGACATTGCTCTACCTGCCTTCTTTCCACTCAGGCAAACCTTTGCCCTAATGCATCCTAACCACCAGAGGGGAATTTGATTTTGATTTTGACTTATATATGTTGAATCTATTCTTAGCTTGAAATATAATCTCCTGATGTCAGAAACACAAAATGGCTCTATTATTTATGCAGTATCAGTAAATAGGGAGGCATAGAATATTCCTAATTTACTCTTGTGACATGGAATAGGAATTAAGTGCCAGAATGAAACCAGGACTCCCGGACCTACCCCTCTACCTCTGTTCCTGGTAACGAATGCCGCTTCTCTGTTACTTGTCTTTTTATTTGCCAAATGTCAACAACAAACCAAGGAAGGCTGGAGAAAAATGGGAAGGCTGAGAAGAAAATGTGTTGAAATTAATGTGCAGCTTATAAGTCCTTGTCTAAAAGAGCTGAGCAAAAATATCTCTAAACCTACATACTTCATTATCAAATAATGAGTCTTTGTTTTGAAAAGAATAGAAGGATCTGGATTATGGGCATTATTTTGAATATAATTAAGCTAGATGGAAGTGTATTAAAAAATCAGTCCCACAGAGCTGTCTCCGGCAGTTTCCTGTTCTTATGTTACAAATACTGGAAGTGAACACATGGATCAACTTGGTAAATCCTACAGAAATGAAACCTTCTTTGTGGTGGATTGGAGAATAATTTCTTACCTCTAGTCCAGCAATAGAAACAACATTTTAAACAAGTGTTTTTCCATCCAGTGGCTAATGTGATATATTTACTTTTCTCTACAAGACTAATAGTCCCCAGAGTTTGGCATAGCCCCTCGTGGTTGTTGAAGTTTTCACTCTCTTATTTGAATCTCATATTGATCCTAAGAGAGGGTCGAGGAGGTGATTTGCTAAAGTTCACCCAGTGGCCCAGGGAGTTTTACATTGTTCTGTGATTCAAGAATTCTGTGTTATTCTGTGATTGTACGATTACACTATTCTATTATTACCTAGCTACTTAACTAAAACTAGCTCAAGTATGGGGCCCTTGCCACAGGGGAATCTCATGTGACATATTCAGAATAGGAATGAAAATATAAATGGGCCATGTGGACTATAGAATTAATTGATAGAAATAACAGCTAACATTTTTGAGCATTGACTGTATCAGCTCATTTGATTTTCACAACAACCCTATGAAGTAGGTTGTTAGGATCCCCATGTTTCCAATGAGGAATCTGAGGCACAGAGTAACTTTTCAGTTACTCATCCCCTATCACATGGGTAAGTGTCAGAGGCGGATTGGAACCCAGGCAGTTTGATCCCTTAGCCCTCACTCAGCTTCACTGTATTGCCTTCCTCCACAGTAAGAAGTGGAGTTTCCTGGCTTTGTGTCTCAGGCACCTCGTGGCCTCTTGTCTCTCTTTTCTTTCAGGCTGTGTCTGTCATTCTGCCTCTTCCTGTAGACTGGCTTTCTCTGCTAATCCAAAGCTTCTTGATCCCCCTGTAACTAAGTCTTCTGGGTGCTTTTCCTTGCTGTGGCATTCACTGCAGCCGGGATTGGCAAGACTTTTCAGTTTAAGTGCCCACCGTCCAGTCTCTGTCCCATTTCTTTATTTCCCAGGAGGGAAAATCAGGCTGCCGTCATCTGACCAGTGGAGTGAGGAGTCTACCCCTCATCTGATCCACAGAGGCCAGAGGAGAAGGGGCAGATGGTACAAAAATGACTACCTCAGCTGCCCCCCTCCTTCAGCCATGCCTGTGGTAGAGGGCAGTTTTAAATCAGGTGGTGTCGTGGCGCCTGGGTGGCTCGGTCGGTTAAGCATCTGACTTCGGCTCAGGTCATGATCTCACAGTTCATGGGTTTGAGCCCCGCGTCGGGCTCTGTGCTGATAGCTAGCTCAGAGCCTGGAGCCTGTTTCAGATTCTGTGTCTCCCTCTCTCTTTGACCCTCCCCAGCTCACGCTTTCTCTCTATCTCAGAAATAAATAAAAACATTTAAAAAAAATTAAAAAAAAAATAAATCAGGTGGTATAGATAGGGCAAGCTTCCCCAAATCAATCTCTTCCATAGCAGTAAACAACCAGGTTCATGTGCTGGTACGCTGGCTCTATGAAAAACATTGAGGACAAGTCGCCCAATTTATAGTGTTGGCCGATTTCCATGGTATAAATACTCCCACCATAGCTGATTTCAAGCTACCAGTGTGACAGTGAAATTGGGAAGAGATGCACACAGTTCGCTTAGTGCTGATGTGATCCTGTCCATCTGCAGGCTGCATATACTACCCATGCAATGTGCACAGTAAGTGCAGGTGTCTCCCAGAAGTTGAAAGTCTGGGCTTAACAGGCTAACTAACTAGGTGGGTCTATAGTTATGTAAAAGGAAATACTGTTTCAAGGAAGAGAGGGTGGAAGTTAGATTGGGCATGCACAGCCCAAAATAGCTTGAAGTATGTAGTCCTAAGTGTGCAGTCTAGTAGGCACACGGAGATGCCTTCTAAAACGTTGTAATTTCCATGCCTGTCATGTCTCACTTGTGACATAGAATTAACCGTTTTCACTGATTTTAAGATGTCAGACCTCATTTTCTTGGAGGTGCATGGGTTTTGTTGTCTGACACTGATAGGTGTTATTTTTCCTTGCTTTCAGATGTCAGCAATTCCTTCTCATTTGGTGTTGTTGTCCTTTATGGACTCCTTTATTCCACCTTACAAACCTAGACAGGTGACAGCCATGTGGTGGCCTATCAGACACCTTCCAGTTTGAATCAACATTATTATTCTTGATTGGAGGCTTTTATTTATAATGATAAGGCCATCTCTCAGTTCATGTAATTATGCTAAAAGTCAAGACAGTCTTGTGACTACCACCTGTGGCAACACATCACATGTCATCACAGATCTCAAGTCTCGTCTGGTTGGCTCTTTTCCCTTGCATGTCTGGGAGGGGACTGAGAGTCTTGGCTTCTGTATACTACTTACAGTTCTGCCGATGTTCCGGATCTTTCCTCCCGATGTGACGACATCACTAGCTCTGGCCAGCTCTAATAAAGGGTGGTGTTGGCCACTAGGAGATGGAATGAGGAAGCGTTGGCAGCATAGATCTCCTTCAGACATGGAGTCCCAGGTGTCCTGCTGATGGAAGGTCAGTGTCTATACCTATAAAAATAGCACAATTAATTTATTCTTTTAATTTCCCAGGGGCTATAGCGAGAGAAAAATTTGACACGATTCTTCTTTTATGTTTCACTGGAGATTTGTCCTAGTTTGTGGTTATGTTGACTTCTGAATAGGACTAACATTTATGAAACGGCTACTACTGTGTTAGTCATTGAATCGGAGTTCCATCTTATTTAACCCCCACCATGACACCATGAGGTAATTCTTGTCTACTTTGCTTGGAGGAAGCAGAGACTGAGAGAACGGTTAAGAAATTGACTTGCCTGAGGGCATGTTGTTTGTAAGTGGTGAAGATGGGATTTGAAACCAAATCTGACTACAATGTAAATACGTTTTCAGCTACATGGTGCTGGCTTTCCGCCTCAGCTTATTACATTTTCAAGCACACAGAAGAGTTGAAAGTACTGTACAGTGAACAGCTGTTACCTACCACCTGGATGATCCAATTAACATTTTGCTATAATTTTTTTTTTATCATATATCTTGTCGGTACATCTTTTTCTTCTTAATTAGTTTTTTAAAATTTATTTTATTTTTGAGAGAGAGAGAGAGAGAGAGAGAGAAAGTATGAGCAGGGGAGAGGGAGAGGGAGAGAGAGACTTCCAAGCAGGCTCCATGCTGACTGCTAGCATGGAGCTCTACACTGGGCTCAATCTCGTGAACCACACGATCATGACCTGAGCCAAAATCAAGAATTGGATGCTTAACTGACTGAGCCACCCAGGTGCCCCTCTTGTCTACCCACCCCAGGTATCACAGTTTTTTCACCATGGCTTAGTTTTAATGCCAGGCAGTCTCAAATAATGACGCCTGTTGTTTCTAAATGGACTTTTCCTGATATGTAGTCATTGAGACATTACTTATAGAGTAGCTGGTATGTGGCAAGTACTGTGCTGGGTGCTAGAGACATAGCTGTAAGGAAGACATTGGCTCATAGGAGAGAGAGAGACATGGGTCAGCTCCTCATAGGAATACATATACACTTACCAGTGGAGGTGAGTGCTGTGAGAGGGAAGCCCTGGATGCTGGGGAGGCTTGGTGAGTAAGGAGGAGGATGATCAGGGAAGGCTTTCCTAGGGAAGTGAAACTTGAACCAACATCAGAAGAATGAGTAGGAGATAACCAGGCAGAGATTTAGAGCAAAGGGAAAGGTGGGCACTGTCTTCTGTGGTAGGAAGAAGTGTGGCTTATTCCGGAACCAGAGAGAAGGAGGGTTTGGCTAGTAGGCAGGAACCGTGAGGATAGTGCTGGACTAGGCAGGAGTGGGGGGGCAGGGGTATATCACATAGGAGACAGACCATGGACTCTAGCTTTTATCTTAAGAGGGATGGGAAGCCATTGTGTGACCTTGACATTCAATTACCCAATCAGTTGAGTTGGATGAAGAGGAAGCATGGACTGTATGCTCTGGAATCATAGCTAAAATTAAGTAGTATTGACACGAAAATTCCAAGTATTTTTTTTAATATTATTTATTTATTTTGATAGAGGGAGAGAGAGTGTGTGTGTGAAAGCGGGGGAGGGACAGAGAGAGAGGGAGAGAATCCCAAGCAGGCTCTGAGCGGTCAGCACAGAGCCTGACATGGGATTCAAAATCATGAACTGTGAGATCATGACCTGAGGTGAAATCGAGAGTCGGATGCTTAACTGATTGAACCACCCAGGTGCCCCATGAAACTTCCAAGTTTTAGGAGAACCTTGATTTACATTATGAATCCTACACAGGTCTTTAGATTCCTCATTATTTTTCTCCCTCACCTGTCTGCCTGCCCAGGCAGTAACAGCTACTCAATAAAGATCCTCAGTGCCTCCAGCTCTTGCCTGCCCATTCCTTCCATTCTCACTGCCTCCGTTTCATTGTCTCTTTCGCTCCTTAACTTAACTTAACTCCCTTCCACTGCCCACTCCTCCCTGGAAAGGGATCCTGCTAGAGTCACAGGGACTGCCTGCTCGCTTGAATCCTGGGACAGTTGTCTAATCCCCTTTGCTCTGTTATTCTATAGAGCCTCCTAAGGTAGCCTCTTCCCAAACTTATGAATTTAACAACCACCTTTGTACCGATGTTGTAAAAGGCTCTCCATTCTGTCCTTAGGTTGAGACTCCCATGTGCTGCTATTTATTGGATATCACTGCCTGTGGCTGCTGACACTTCAGCATTTCTCCCTCAAAGGGGACTCATCTTTGGAGTCCTGCCCCTCACCTGTATTTGCTGTTTCAGTGAGTGTGACCAACTACCTTTTTGTTGGAGCCAGATATCTGAGAATCATTCCAGATTCTTTTCTTTTGCTCCTTCCCTTCATTTACTTGGCCACTAAATCTTGATTGTTGTATTTTCACATACTCTTATAATTCTGTCCCTCTCTCTGCTGGCTCACTTCACACCCTCCCTCTTTGTGGTCTGTGTGTTGTTAGAGCCATGCTTCCTAACTGACTACCCTCCTTCTAGCCCCTGCTAACCAATCTCATTCTTTAGCCAGAGATATTTATAAAACGTAAACCTACCCAAACTCTTCAACAGAGTTCATCTCCACTGCTTAGTGATCTGGGTATTTTATGAATGAACCACCTCAATCCGTACCTGCCACCATAGCTAGACTTGCAGTTGCCTAAAAGTCCGTTTATGCCCCTTAGGTTTTATTCTTTCTGCCTGGGAAGCACTTCTCAGCCCTGTCTGCTTGGGCACAGTCCAAGTCCTACATCCTTCAAGTAGCCTTTCCTGGCACACAGTCTGCAGGAGTTAGAAGCTGTCCTTCCCACTCCCACCCCCTGTACTGTGTGAACGGTCTACTGGTCTGGCTTCTTTATCAGACTGTGAGCTCCTTAGAGCAGTTCTCTAAAGATAATCCCAGGTATACTGGGGTGCTGGAAACCCTTTCACAACAACGATGATCCATGTGCAAAAACTGTTTTCGTGATAACTGAGGACACATATTGTTATAGCCATGTCTATTGGAAGAAACAATGATGGACGCCTGGGTGGCTCAGTCAGTTGAGTGTCTCACTCTTGCTTTTGGCTCAGGTCATGATCTCATGGCTGCATTGGGCTCTGTGCTGGACATGGAGCCTGCTTAAAATTCTCTCTCTCTCTCTCTCTCTCTCTCTCTCTCT